ATCGAATTCAATGGATTTAGATTGATCGAAAGAAAAGTGTAGGTTAAGGGGTTGTTTGTTTACCTCTTAATAGTTCCATTAAGAGGCAACATCTGAACCGTTAAGAGGTGAATCTTGTTTGGTAAAAAAAGTTTGGCTCTTAATGGTTCTAAAACCATCTGAATGGTTTTGTATCCTAGACCTCACTTAACCATTAAGAGTCCTAATTTCATTGTAAGCAATTACCAAACAATTATATTTCATTTTGCATTATATCATAAGAACTTCTTAATTATTTTGACCACTTAAACATTATGTACCAAATCATTCAACATTTGTCAGACAAGTCTTTAAACATTATATACCAAATCATTCAACATCTGTCAAACAAGTCTTTAACCAAAAGGAAGAGTGTAGTCGGCACAAAAAGAGAAGCAATAAGGATGAGGTCAGGAGGCTGTTTGCTTTGATTATATATTATATATATATATATATATATCTGGGTTCAATCGCATATTTCCAATGACCAACAGTCACTGGATTTACTTACGTACGGAAAATATTGCATCCTGTTTTCTTCCATATCTCATTTCCACTTTTCCATTTTAATTCCATATTCCCAAGAAAGGATGGCTTCACATTTTTATGACGACGACGTTACTTCTTGCGGACAGGGCTCTAAACGAACCGAATGTTCAGCGAACTATTTGTGAATCATTTGACGAAAAGTTTGTTTATGTTCGTTTATTTAATAAATGACGAACATGAACAAAAGTCATGTTTGTGAACGTTCATTTATTTACCGTTCTTTTATATACTTATTTTAATATAATATTTTGTTTATTTACTAGGAATTCAAATAATATTCGTTTATGTTCGTTTAACATGTTAACGAACACGAACACATCTGATTTCTAAACGAACGAACACGAACACAAATATTTTCGTTTGTTTATCATTCGTGTTCGTTCGTTCGTTCGGTTAAGTAAAGCAAACGAACATGAACAAGGCTCCGTTCATGTTCGTTCGGTTCGTTTACGGTCCTACATACACACAACTCACTTTTTTATAACACCTTTAATCTCATCTCTTTTGAGTTTTTATATAAGAATTTTGATTGTTACGTTTAGGTTGGTATGAAATAACAATTTATTAGCTTTTTTTATATAATAAAAATTACTTATATTGGAAAAAAAATAAATGAGATTCATAAAGAAAGCCTAGTAACCAAGAAAAATACTATTGTGATTTTTAATAAGGGAGATTTTATATTGCTAAATGTATCTATACCTACTATTTCTTTATCACATACATCAACATTAAAATCCGTTTTTTACATTGTTAAACATAATTTAACCTGATTTTGACATTAAAGGGGGTGCAAATAGGATTGTCCTGCTATCAATTTTTTAAGAGTATCTCCGATGCAAGGTTGTTATAAGAAAAAAGTAAAGTGGCTTGTAGGAAGTAACATTATGGAAAATTCTTATAAGAACCCACCGTCATTGAGTTCTTGTACAAGAAACCTTAAAGTTTGGATGAAGTAGCAATTTCCTAGTTTTTTTTTTAATATAGTTTATTGATTTTAAAATAATTATTAATGTTAAAAAAGTATTTGAGAACATTTAGAACTTTTAAGCTCTTATTCAAGTGTGACATTGGTAAGTAACACTTTTGAGTGTTTACATAAACAACTTATACCGGTGCTAAACCGGTAATAAAAAGTTTTTGAAGAAGTTAATTTTTTTTGACTTATAATAAATTAATAAATATTTTTATAAAAAAACATAAGCTATTTTAAATAAATAATTCCATACACTTTTTTAATATCCAAACGTCTTAATAAATCAGACTTCAAAAGATGGCTAAAAAAACAAACTCGTAAATCTTTATTACCGGTTAATCTAAGCTGCATGATTTACAACCAGTCGAATAGTGATATGATGACGTTGTCAAGTGTTTTTAATGAATAAAAATGAGTGAAGAACATGTGATTGGTAACATGCAACGAAGGGAAGTTAATTTTTTGTGTATGACACGGTATTTGATGCAAAGGGTGTTGGAGAAAATAAAATTTGTATGCGGAAGGGTACACTCCAGACTCCACAGTAGTCCATCCCAGAGGATAAGGTGCGTTTTAGACCGTCGGATCATCATCGGAGACGTAGCTGCATGTGCAGCAGCAGCCTGACTGTCTCCTGACCACCGTCTAATCAAAAACCCACAGTGTACCAGCAACACCCATTCACTGCTCACTAAATGTAGAATAGTTTGATTGATTAAATCTATTTCAGACGTTTATTTCATTAAATCTATCCCCTCCTAAATAATAATTAACATGTAAAGAATTGCCATTTTTGCTGGTTAAGATTTGCGGTTTTGTTTATGTACATAAGCATGACAGTTGATCATGAGGAAACAGATGGTGTTGTGTGGAGTTGGATGCATCATGCATATACATACAAAATACATATAAATGTGTGTATGTATATATATATATATAGATGGAGATAGAGAGAGAGGGGTTTGGAATGATTTGAAATAAAAAAAGGAGAAAAAAGGGGGGAATATTTTCAGGTGAGCAGAAAGAAGGCATAGAAGACGGGGGGATGTGAAATCATCCTGCAAGTATAATATATGAATCAGAATAAAAAGTTGGATAGATGGAGATAGGTTTGATGTAACCATTCATCACCAATCTGCACATCTGATTCTATTCTATTGTTTCACACTTCAACTACACTACCAGTCCAGAGATTTACATCCATGACATCTGCTAACTTTTTCAACTTTATACTATCAATTTATTAAAAACGTTATATTTAAAAGTGTTACAATCTATTTGTATAATGATTTTAAGCGTTTTAACAAGTTTTTTTTTTTATAACAATGTTAAAATTAAAGTGTTATATTAACCATTTTATAATTTTTTTTTGACAAATGACATATAAATTCATTTTTTTATAGTACATTTTTGTTTGTAGAATTTTTTTAAATAATGTCCAACAAAATGACTTCTTTTTATAGGACTTTTGAGAATTTAATATATTATAAAAAAAATTAAGGATCAAAATAAAATATATAATTTAAAATGAAATGAATAAAAGTAGAAATTGAATGGGTGATATAATTTGGCCATCACATCATACAAGATCTAAAATATCAATTCCACAAGTTTGAATGTGAAGATGGATGTCAGGTTGAGTGTAATCAATGCTCAAATATCATCTCCTCAATAGACACCATAACCAATTTTAAACACCAAATCTCATACATCAAAATTGTAGTGAATGTGTTGAATACATTATTTTCCTACAACATTAATTAAAATCGACTAAATATACTCCTGTTTTTCAATCTCATCTAATATCAATATTTGTTTTATTCAATGTTAATGTATGATTTATACTGATTTTGACATGAAATAAGTTGATATAGCATTTTCATCTTTTAAAAGTTTAAAACGCATCACAAATATATATATGTATTGTGGTATGAAATCATGACATATGATTAAGTTAAAAACTTATGACGGAAAATTGAAAGAAAAAGATTAATAACCCATAATGAAGTTTTAAATAAAAACATATTAGTAATCTGATAATTACATAAACTAGTTTTCGGTCACTAAATATAATTAAGACAGTGTTGAAAACGATTAGACACGATAGAAATATGTTGCTAGTTAAAAGAATATAATTACTTAGAACCTGTTTGACTCAAGTTAATGAATGAAAATGAAAATGATAAATAATGAAAATAATAATGAATTTTTATTCTCCTAATTTTACCAGGAATGAAATTTTGGGCTTTTAGCGAAATGAGTCCATTATATTATAGAAAATCATATAGCTTCTTTTATTATTGATTATTGCTTCATACTTTTAAAGAAACACCCCTTAAGTTATTGTAGTTATAAAAATTATGCGGGTCTAATTATTAAGTATAATGTAACACCTCATTTTTCATGGTGAAATTATGAAAACGAAAAAGTAAAAGGCCTAAAATTGCCAAGCTTCAAAAGTGGAGTCCGAGGACTGAATAATGACTGACCAAAACAAGAAGGGCCTGTTTTGCCATTTAGGAAAAAAATTCGATTTGAAAACTGGAAGGGAGACCCGTAGTTTTGGTCACCATTTTTTGGGGGGGGGGGGTATCAGCCCTTCCTGGCGGATTTATGATCGGAGGAATAGCATCGATTAGAGGGGAAACCCCCCTCAGATTTTACGTGAAGTAATGAAGAAACGAGAGAGAAATCTGCCATGGTGCGAGCTAGGGCTCGTTGTAGAAGAAAACGTCGATTTTAAGGTAAATTCTAAACCCAAACTGATGATTCATGTATGATTAGCATCTTCCTTTTGATTCCCATTCAATTAGCATGGGTATTGAAGGCTAATGACGGCCGTTTTTTAGTGGAAAAGCCGCTGTGGCGGTGGTTAAGAAAAATCCCAAATTAGGGGAGATGGTCTGTCCATCACTTCATCGGTTATGCGATTGGGTCAGAAACCAGGGTGGGTTCCAGTGGATCGGGTCCGTGGGCTACCAAGCTGCTTTATTTGGGCCTTTTCAATTAATTTGTATTGCTTATAAATGGGCCAATATGAAAAGAAAATTATGTGGGTTTGGTTTGGTGCTAATTTGAAATCCCTTTATTCTTTTATTCATATAAATATAGTTTAAATCTATTCTCCATCTTTATATAACTTTTTTTTATATATGTTTAGTAAATATGATCACAAATGCCAGTTAAGAAAAATAATTGAATGTGATCTACTTTAACACCAAACCTGTACGGTTTGGGTTGGGTTGTTCCGATCAAGTTAACCCGTGTGCACCCCTAATTACAATGTTTGTTTAGGCATATGCTATATTTATGTTATAAATGGTGTCATGCATGATAAATACAAAATCAAAATCTTTAAAAGAAATCTAAAATGAAGAGAATAATACAGATTATGTTTATTCATATGTATATATATATATATATATATCCACAAATATACAAAGGAAGACGTAGGCAAAGTAATTATGAATGTCTACATGGGCAACAAGTATTGGAACTCAAATTCATATGGTAGCTTCTCCACAATGGATGAAACCTTTGCAGTATTATTAACTCCTCTAAAGCAATCCACCATGGATTTCCTCAGTGAACCTGAAGTTGGCAACTGCTGACACAACCATTCCACCAATCTTTCAAGATCTGCTGCAAAATCATGCATGTTTCTAACCAAAAGCTCTGGGAGTCCAATTTTCTTGCCACTTGTTACTACTATTGAAGCTTGCAGGTACTCCAGCTTTGCTCTTTCCAACTCGTTCACAACTCCATCACCTGTATATACTCTTACCTTTGTAATACAAAAGGGTTATATATAATATTATTAGCATGTTAATACACGAAAAGGCTGGTACATATACACGATATATGCAATACAACAGAATCGGGTTTATAGGAAACGAAAGACACATATGTCTTATAAAAGAGTCTATTAGTACACTTAGACATTGGCGTCCTATAAACCTGATTTTGTTGTAGTATCATGTCCCATCTATGTCCAACCAATCACTTGAAAGACACATCATTATTTTTCTTTACTTCATTTCTTTAATTTTCTTTCTAGTCAACAACAATGATGATGTGGCTTTTTGTGATTTGTGGACATGGGATTCGGAGACAACATAATTTTGTTTTGGATACATAGAACTTTAATAGGAAATTACGGCGGGAGACGAGCGTGTGCCGCAACACAATGCAAATGTGATATTGGGGTCCATGGATTCGAGTCCATGATGTTTGCGAAAGACTGCTTCTTTATCTTCCCTTTCTGCTTTACCATAAATCTATTCGACCAAAATGCAAACTTGATTAGATAAATGAGGTTATGATATATATGTGTGTATATATGTATAGGGGGAGGTTCAAGGGAAAACTCAAAAATATGAAAAGCTGAGAAACATCATGGTAATCGTTCATCTGGACGATATGCACATGTGCATACAAGTACTTGAAGTTGTTTCTTGGTTTTTATTCACATGTGCATACTTGACAAATTACTTGTATGCACTTGTGCATACGGTTCAGATGAGTTTTTCATTCTTTTTACGGTTTTACCCGAATGTGACCCTATATATACATATAAGGAACATTTGTAAGCAAGGATTAATAGAGACATGTAGCTTATACCTTTTCTATGATAGAGGCTTCTTGCCTTCTCAATATGACATGTTCGATAGCTTGAGCATTTACCGTGTTGCCTCCAATTTTAAGGGTTGCCTGATGCAGATTCAGATGTCTTAATGTTAGAACATCAAAACCTAGATGAAACCCGAAGTTGATCATGAGTTTTTGCACTGTGTCTTATTTATTGGATGGGTTGTTGGAAAACTTTGACACCATTTTTCCAACAATTGGCTGACATACCTTGTTCATGAGTGTGAGTAGTTTATCAGGGCTAGAAGGAACTCCATATTGAAGAAAACCCTGAAATTTGAAACAAGTTAAATTCAAAGAAAAAAACATATATTTATCAGCAATTACCATATCCAAATGGTGCCAAAATGCACATAGTAAATATGAGTTGTCATAATATCTGGAACCCTTTAATAAAAAAAAATAAAAGAATATGTGGAACCTCATTAGATTACTTTCCAAAAAAACCGTTGATCAGAGAAGGGGGGTTCTAACATACTGAGAATAAATGATCCAAATCTAAGCAAATATGGGACTCTAACACACACCGTCCAATGTGAGAATATGTTATTAGATTACACTTCAGAAAAGCTCTTGAGAAGAGAAGACAGGTTCCAACATATATTATAGGAAAAACAGTCAAAATCTAGCCAACGTGTGACTGAGGTAATATCCCATGAATTTGGGACAACTTACATGCATGATACAAGCATTGTACATGTTGATCCAGAATGCCAATTTTTGTTGTGAAGTCAAAAACATCAAATCCACCTTTTGTAGCCCATTCATATAAGCTCTGCAAGTACACCATTAGTTACCACATTGTACAACTCATCAATGCATGGGTGATCAGGTCATTAAAAATCTTGGAAAGTACCTTAACTTTTGCAGCAATGGAATGTAACTTGAACTTGAAATGCATTTAGGGTCCAAAGAACTTGATGTGAACTTAACCAAGTTCTTGTAGCACCCAATGTCTCTAGGAATGGAGTCTTCGAGATTAAAGATCCCATAAGGATCTTGCTGTCTAGACTCCTTCTGAAGCAGCAGGCTAGCCTTTGAGTTCAAGCAGGGTTCAGCCCTGAAACTCATCGAAAAGTTGGCTGATCTAGAAATGGGGCCGGATTTCTCCAGCTCCATTGTTCTCGATGTCCTGAGGAGCCTCGTGAAAATGAAGATCAAGCATTTCATAATATTTTCAGAGAGCTTGTTTGGTGACCATTTTAGGATGTTCTCTTCTTCAGATTGGTTTGTAGCCTGTAGTGTTCTTTGTGAGGGATCTGAATATGCGTCTGGATTGCGTTCTCTCTAGAAATATATATGTAGAACAGGTTACATACTACCCAAAAAAGATCCGATAACAAAACTAGAATATGTGGAACTCCATAAATTACTCTCCAAAACACGCCCCGTACAACGGAGGCTAGAAGGGCACATATTGTCCCAGAGTGTCAAGAGGAGGCTACACAACACAAAGCGTCAAATCTCTAAAGTGGTAGGTCTTGGCTCTAATACATGTGTGGAACCCCGATAAATTCTTGAAAAGAGAAGGGAGATTCCAAAATATATTGTGAAGAAATGGTCCAGGTCTAGACTATGTGGGACTCAAACAAAAACATAAAAATTTGTATATTAAATATATATGTCTAGAAATATAGCATACCTTAGGAGTTATTACATGCCTTGTATCTCTTGCAGGTGAGGGTGGTTTTAGAATCCCAGTTTTTCTTGGGGTACGGGAACGAACCCCAAGTTCCTCATCGTTCTCATGATTTTCTTTTTGATCAGAGAACGATACGTTTTTTGTTCTTGACTTCTCATGTAAGTTGAAATCTCGGAGACTATAATCACCCTTTATAGCTTTACTAATGAAGTGCAATGCCTTGGTCTCAAATGACAATTTGTCACCATAACCTCTAGATTTTGGTAGCAGCAATGATGTGGTCGTCGGAGCTAGAGAACCAATGGGAATTTGACGAAATTGCGCTTGTTTCGGTTTAGATTGATCTCTAGTGGCTTCTCTCTCTTTGTCTAAGTCTGTTTGAAGATGGCTGATTTGGCTTTCTAGTCTTGTTATTTCGTTCTCAACCATGGCTAGTTCCGTCAATAACTCCTTCATCTGTCGCATAAAACAAACGGTTTCAGGAATTACACGAATTCATGTTATTAGAATAAACTGTAAACTTAACCAAAAAATGGCACCTTTGGAGGAAGCGAATTGGGGATATGAAGAGCGGAATGGTCATGGTGGTACGTGTGTTTTAGAAGCTCACCGACTTTTTCTTCGTGTTCTAGCATTTTCTGAAGCGTCGACACCTGATTAACACCCATGAATGAGTCGTAAATGGTTTCAAGTTGCATACAGAATCATATAGAGATGGATGAAAACCAAGAAATGGGGATGGTGAGCCATGACTGATGAATGTGTTAGTAGTAGTAGTACATCATGATAACAGAAATGGAAACATGGTCTTTTTGCCTTTTCTTTTCCTCAATAGAACATTCACACATGTTTAATAGACTGATTGAACCGAGTTTGATACAATGTAGGAATATGTAAAACCCCATTAGATTACTCTTCAAGAGAGACTTTTAGTAGATAAATGATGTTCCAACATACATTAAACAGAAACAATCCAGATATCTGGCTGATATACTGATCGGTTTGTTGTATCGTAGCAAGTTTCATGATTTTGACATGTTTGAATATAATGGAAAGAAACATACAACATGTAACTACGAGTACGAGGGGTACTATATCATGCCCACAACCTAAGAATTGATTAAAGCAAAACACATTAATATTTGATGAAAAGTAATAATATAAATCAACAAATTAAATTAATCAATTTATAGAAATAACACGTTGCAATTTCTTTAAAGATCCAGAAAAATGCACTTGAAGAAAAGCGACGTTTACACCATCGATCCAACCCGGCAATTAATGCAACCGGGTGTCGAATTTGAAGTCGGGACCCCGGGATTATTTTGGACATAATGAAATCATTAAAGTACCTCTCTTTCTAGTTCTTCCTTCTTATGATGTCCACTGTTCTGCTTCTTACTCTTCTGAAATAGAAGTAACCTTCTACTTCAATTGAAAACAAGATTTGATGATATAAAGACAATCTTGAAACACACTTACGTTAACGGCAATGGTGGCGGTGGCGGCGGCGGCGGTGGGGTTCGGAGCTGCCGGATTGGGATGAGGTGCCATCCACATGATTGATGTAGAGTGTTGAGAAAAGAAGTTGGAGGCAGATAGGAGTTGGGAGTGTGCATATTATGAAGAACGTAATATGTGTTTGAAGTTGATGATGAAGCAAGCAATGTTGTTGGTGGTGTTGCTTTGATCGGAAGAGTGTTTGGTGGGTGGTGGCAAGTGGCGACGGTGATGGTGGTGGTTGCGAACGTTGACGTTTTGGATCTTGAGGATGACAAATAGCTTTCATGATGAAGGAATCATTGAGAAAAGAAAGCTTGCTTCTTCTTGTCATTAGTCATTATGCTTGTAATTCTTGTGCTTAATCACCCATGATTTCAATTATGGAGCTGAATCATGATATGATTGGCTGGTTATAAATTCTTCATTGGACTCTAATTACGTGTCAAGTAATCTAAATAAAGTGGGAGTTGGGCAGCGTATCTTTATTTGGTGGGTTTTTTTTTTTTAAATTGAGTCGTAGGTTTCACTTGTAAGCATTCTCTTTTTAGACTTATTCCTTCCCTAATAAGCTTTGTTACTACATATCTTTTTTATCTATGAAACGAAAATGAAATTTATTGAATAAATTATTTTTTATATTACTAAGTCATTACCATTACAGTTGAAGGGTTTCATCTCTTTAACTATTTTTTACAAAGTTTACCAAAATAGTTTCAGGTCCGTAATTTTAAATTTTTTACAAGGTTTACCATGGCAGATGAACCATGTAGGATGGATGTTATTCGTTATCTCTATTTATAATTAAAGCATATTTTTTTGATATATTAATAATGAAACATAAATATTAAAATGATGTATGTGTGACGGATCAGGCGATTGTGATGACCGACCGGCCAGTTTAACCGGATTGGAAATCAAACAAGCCCTAAAAAAAGAACCCGCCCGTCTTCTTCTTTTGATTCCCGCTCGCTTTCTTCCTACCTGCAACAATGGCAGCCTACACTCTGCTTCGTCGTATCGCAAAACCTCAATTCAGTTCCTCTCTGCTTCTTCATACTACCAGTCCCAGATGCTACTTCTCAACTTCCGTCAATCCTAAAACCGTGGCAACGCCTCCTTTTCAAGGTATCTTCCCATTTTGTTCATATCATAACATCTGTGGATTTGAATGTTTTTAATGAATTTGTAGTTCGGAATTCGTTATAAACATCAACTGCTTGATAAACTACTGTTAGTGCCAACAAGTTGTGGGTTGATGTTTGCAATTGATTGATTAAATGATCCGTCTTTGCGTTAGAAAGAACATTATTGCAAACATCGAGCCCTTCTAAACAGACAATCTACTCCGGACAGCTGAGTTTGTTATAAAAAAGAACAATGTGCTTATAGTAAGTTTTGGTTAAAGAGTCGTATAGCAACTTATACTTTCTTCAAAAGGGAATTATATTCAAGGGTTGGTAATATGGGATTTGGAAATGTTTGTGCTTTGTCAAACATACAATACAAGTATAGATACAATTAGCAATACAGCATGAGCCATTTCATGCACTCATGTGGGTATATATCTTCTGCAGAAAGATCATTGGCAAGTCGACCAGACTCTGTTTTCCTTTTTGATGAGATGATTGTAGGGAATCAGAGGAAGTATTACATGTTGGGTGGCAAAGGAGGTGTCGGAAAGACAAGTTGTGCTGCATCCCTTGCTGTAAAATTTGCAAATAATGGTCATCCCACCATTGTAGTTTCTACAGATCCTGCTCATTCTTTAAGTGATTCGTTTGATCAGGTATCCGCTATATTCTATATTTCTATTCTTGATGGGCAAAAGCTTTAATATTTTTATACGTTGATTGGATTACACATAACCCTTTTGGGGAAAATGCATTTGATTTACTGCAAGATACATGCATATCTAGGATTTGACTGGGGGGACGCTAGTTCCAATTCAAGGACTGAATTCGCCATTATTTGGACTTGAGGTACTACCAAGACCTAGAGGAATGCTTTCATATACGCATGATACCTTTTGTAGTATATACTCATAGATAGGATTATGAGTTCTTGATAGATTAATCCAGAAAAAACCAAGGAAGATTTCCGTAGTGCAGCACAAGGCAATGGTGGTGCTGGCGTAAAAGATTTTATGAACAGCATGGGACTTGGAATGGTAGCCGAGCAGGTGGGAAAATTCCTTCTTGTACCGTTTATCATCCAAGCTGTTCTATTGTAGCTGCAAATTGGGAAAGTTGGTTGCTTTCTGATAAGCATGTCGTGCTTCTTTTTTGTAGTTGGGAGAATTGAAATTGGCAGAGCTTTTGGATACACCTCCTCCTGGTCTAGATGAAGCTATTGCGATATCGAAGGTGGGTATTTCTTGGAACTCCTTTTCATGTTGTTTTTCCTGATTATTATCAGAAAACACAAGACTCCCCTTGCATAGTTATTCGTCACACTCGTAAGTTATATCACACGACACCTAACAACAATGATTTATTGCAGGTAATGCAGTTTGTAGATTCTCCAGAGTATAGTACGTTTACGAGGATAGTGTTTGATACAGCACCTACAGTAAGCATCAGCATTGGATCTTCTAAATTTTTTGCAGATGGTATCTTTTGTGTCATCCAAATACTTGTTTCTCAGGGTCATACACTTAGGCTGCTTTCATTGCCAGACTTCATGGATGCATCCATAGGCAAAATAATGAAGGTATTCAATTCACCCCTTTTCTCAATAACCCTATCTTGATCCTACTGAATTTGTTACAAGTTCTGTACGAACTTTAATTTATAATATTCCTTGTCAATTTGAACTTCTGCCTTTCGTTTTGTGTTTTGACCTTTCACATTCATGTCTTGACCCATCAGCTGAAAACGAAAATTGCTTCAGCAACTTCTGCCATTAAATCTGTATTTGGGAAAGAGCAGACACCACTTGTGGAAGGCTCTGTAAGATTCGAATATATTCAGTTACTCTTTTCATCACCTTAAACCCTAAACTGTAAACCCTAGTGTGAAAACACCATTAACCACTATCTGTTTGTTTCTGTAGAGCAGCAAGCTAGAACAGTTAAGGGAAAGGATGGCCAAAGTGAGAGATCTTTTTCGTGACTCAGAGACTATGGAATTTGTCATCGTGACCATCCCTACGGTAATTTGTTAATCTCTGTGCTTCTTGAGATTGTGACTCCAAGAGCAAATGATAAGTGGAAATATTGTTCTGAAAAGTGACTTAAGCAGCAGCCACCTTGGCTTAGAAGAGGGGTTTGATGACCCATTTCCCTTCTAAGTGATGGGTTAAGTATCTTGTATGATTAATTGGTGATTAAGCAGTCTAACGGACATAATGCATATTAAAGGGCCAATTAAATTAAATTTACTTGTCATTCTTTTAAAAGCCTAAATCCAGTATATAATTTGTAGCCCAAATCCGAGTACTATAAACTTTTGTAGACTCTCCAAAATAACCCTATTGAAACAATGAAATTAGGCGAAGGTTAGTTTGCTAATCTAGTATCAAGATTTTAAGGTCCATGTTCTTACATAATTTTACAATTTTTCTATAGGCAAATGCATAATTCTAACATTGTTGCAAATGTTAAAATAGATGCTTGTTTGCCCACGAATATTGGAACATTTGACTTCGCTGGTGGTTTATGTTGAACGGTTGAACTTTTGTTATATATGATATATCTGAAACACTTCAATAATGACAAATAAATGAATCTTGTAGACCGAAATCTACAGTTTATTGTAGGTGATGATAATTGTCAACTTGGAAGCTTTCCAAAAATTGAAATCTTGCAACTTTCATGGAACATGTCCAAAAGGAAGGTTCTGATTATAAGTCTCTGAAGACATTTTTGTATCGGTTTATTGATCGTTTCAAGAAAATAGAAAGAAACGCCATCCAACTTGCTAGAAGATGCCCTTTCCATTTTACGCTTTCTAGAACACTTGGATTAAAACATTTCTTGAAAAACTCGGTCTGCAAATAGCAGCAATATCATCGCTTACGGCTGTGATGGCAGGTTATGGCGGTTAGGGAGTCATCTCGGCTGCATGCATCATTGAAGAAAGAAAATGTGCCTGTACAAAGAATTATTGTTAATCAAATCTTGCCACCATCTGCAACAGACTGCAAATTTTGCTCAATCAAAAGAAAGGTAATGCAGCCAGCTATAAGTTCATTCATGGTGCATTTCTTTGTATATTTTTCAATATGGTTCATAGTTTGATACAAAATGATCGTTAATTACAGGATCAAATGCGCCCTCTTGATATGATCCGAAAGGATCCAGAATTGGCTAGTTTGGTGGTAATTGAAGCACCATTATTTGATGTGGAGATCAGGGGTATTCCAGCTCTCCAGTTCATGGGGGATAGGGTTTGGAAGTGAAATGTAGCAAAAATGATCATGTCGGTTGCGAGAAAGTAATGCCGGCCTCGGCAACCGGCATGGGACGACGATATGAGAAAAAAGAGCAACATGTTTGCGAGCCTGCAGATCCAAAGATTACCCCTGATTTTGTGTTTTACATTTTAGTAAGAAATATAGTTTGTTATTAATCGACTGACTCTGGATAAGCTACTAACTATAGGACTCGGGCACATCTCCATTAGGTTATTCACGAAAATAAAAGTCAAAATCTCTAAAAATTTATATTTAATTTCATCAGATTCTTTAAGATTTCGACAATTATTTCACTGGTTGGTGGTCGCTTGGAGGTGTTTGTACAGGGAATAATAAACAAAAGTAATGTATTTGATTTAAAGAAAAGTCCGTAATTGAAAATTTGAAATTTTATTGAAATCCCACAAACATTGAAATTATAAATTCAATAAGATGGTATTTTATGGGATTTCATATGATTTGTTTATAATAATACTTCAAAAGCATCAGTTTTATAGCATTTTTAAAAAATATATTTTGCTGTTTTTCAAAAAAAAAAACATAAAAATAGGGAGAAAAACAGTACGATGTGTCAATGGCATGCCGACTTCATCACAAAAAAGTCCAAAATGGTGATGATTGACAATGAGGCACTAGACATGCCGTGCAAGTGTTCCCCATGCTACATCAAATGTACTCCCTTTTTATTAATAACTTTTATATTTTACTTTTATTATTTAATTTCTCTTATGTTTTTAAATTATCAATCGCTTGTTATTAATCCAATTTTGGAATAAAAAATTTAAAAATGCATATATCATATTAAATATTTTAAGAAACTAAAATTAACATATTGAAAATTAAATATTTTATTACATATTTATAATCGTTGTGATTTATTAAAATAATTTAATAATAAAAATAATATGATGTTTTCAACGTGTAATTCAACTAGTAAAGAGAGAAGGACTTTGTCTAAATATAAGGCAAGTGTCGAGTTCGAATAAGCCAAAAAAATATCTTCTTACACTAATGTTGTTGGAGGCGAATTTCACATGGGACCAATAATTGGAGTTATCGATATTCAATTTTTCTTTAAATAAAAGTAATTTATTATTTTATAACTAAAATAATAAATGTTTTTTTTTTTTTGTTATTACTAGTTTAATTTTATTTTCTATGTTAAGGTTGGAGTTGTTCTACCATAAAAAAAGGTACAATTAAAAGTAAAGATTCAAATTTGGTGTTAGACCGTCAAGTACACCATTTTGGCATTTTTCATATTTACAAAATAGTACTTTAATTTGAAAATATGCATTTTTAATTTATTTCATTACTTAATGACTAGAAGTATATTCGCACAATGCAACGAAATACATCTTGATTTTAATGTTTTGTTTTATATTTTGACTCTATCGATGTTATAATGCGATTTTATGTGATTCTGAGACCAACCTATATTTTAGTGACCATGGTGCAAAATATTCACAAGTCACATAATCATCCACTATTGCTATTGTCAACAACCACCATTATCGTCAAAACCAACGTTTTCGCTGTTACAACCTCCACTATCATCTTCGTCAACTCATAAGAATCGTTTAAACCAAATGAAACATGTTTTTTATTTTGTTGTATGAACCGGGTTTTCTTCAAATTACCATGATTAAATTGTTAAATTAAATTGTGTAAAAATGTTGATAAACTAACTTAGGGGTTGTTTACTAAACACTTATCGGTAAGCGCTTACTAGATCTTTTACCATACCAGATGAACATGACAATGAGCGAAAATCTTACCTGGTAAGAACAATAATAAGGATGAAGAGTCTTACATGGTAAGCGAATGTGACGACTCTTGCCCAGTAAGTGTTTACCGGGTAAATTGTTGCATACGATACCGTTTTGATGAACTATGATATTACTCGGTAAAATAAACTAGAGTGTTTGACTCTTATCGATAAGCGTTTACCAGGTAAGTGTTTGGGTAAACGGGCCCTTACTTAATATGTACTTGATTTATGAGCAATGCGATCATTTTATGTACCATCCAACTTACTAATTTCAGGTTTAAATCAAACATACAGAACATATAAATACACAATTTATTCCAATCCTATTTACAACATACCAAAGGCTACTTTAAATTCTAAGATGAAGGATCGTGTGAGAATAATGCGACGTTTGTTTTTTAGAGGTGTTGAAATCTAAAATCTTATTTTACTATTGATTTATAAAAGGTGGTGCTGATATCTGAAATCTGAATTTGTAAACTGATAAATGTTTTGAATTTATTTAAACTGTCTATTTTACCCATTAGAAAATTATAGTGTTGATATTATAGATAAATATACAAAATTTCGCATATTTATTCATCATCATTACGAATTTTACATCTAAATTATATAATTAGCATTTATTTAGACAAAAGTATGTCACTAACAATATTTAACACATTTAAATCTTATTAAAATACATCAATTGAGAGAGGTGATGATCGATTGAGAGAAATGATCGATGAAGGTTAATCGACTGAGAAACGTAGTTTACGAGGGTTTAGAGAACAATAAGGGTTCGTTTGGTTTGCAAGATTATATTTGGGGGATTCGAATTTCATGTAAAGAACAATATTGGTATGTTTGGTTTATAGGATTTGGAAAGGAATTTGATTCCGTTATTTATAAATAATTATAAAAATAAAATTAAACTATATTTTTATCAATTGATTATTATAAAATAAAATGCTTTAACATTTTTTTAAAACCTTATTTCATACAATCCCATGAAATCCCGAACACCCCTAAGATTTTAAATCCGGACAATACAAAAAAATAAACATGAGATTAAAACGGAATTGAAATCGAAACCTCTCCAAATAAATTTCTTAACAAATAAAATGACAATAAAATATAAGTGACTCTAAAAATTAAAAAAAACAAAGTCTCAAACCCAAAAGATAAATTCTAATTTATTTGTTTGGAAAACATTTTGTAAAAAGAAAACACATCAAACATTAAAAACAGGAGGGTTTTCCCCAAAAGAAAAATAAATAAAAATCTCCATTTGCAAAAGCGACGGGGGAGTGTTCCCACTACCGAACAGCCAAACTCATAGACGTTCATATTTTGATGATTCCGCTTTTGAAGGGTCACTTTTCCGATCTGCAATACTATATTTGCGACGTCAATCCCAGGTAAATTCCTACCCAATCGCACTTCTTTTTTGTGGACGACCTTCACTCTCTTTCCTTCGTTTCTGATTGCTTGGAAATTCAACATAGGTAATTGCTTCAATGCCTCTAATCACACAAATCTTGTTAATTATTTGATTCCTATGTTTTTTTCACTCAACTTAGTCAGTTCATATGTTGTAGATTGCATTGGAGACCCTTAAATCACACACATATATTGATCGGTTGATCTTCATTGTTTGTCAATTGAATCAGTTCGTCTATATGTTCCAGGTTGTATTAATGACTTTGATGAACCGGGGTAGGGTTATATGCTTTCAGTTTTATGAAGTAGCACCTTCAATTACAATGTAGGCATGTAGCATCCAATCTAGGAGGAAAGGGGACTATAGGAGGGAAGGGTTGTCTAATAAGTAGTTTCTGTAGTTCATGAGATTCCAACTTCGCATAAAATAACTTGTTTGACTATTAAGAATCAGATTAGTGAACGCATATTCTTGTTGATTTTATTGATTTCTGGGTTCGTTTCCCCTTCTTAATTTTGCAATCTTGACTACTTCTATCCATATCCACTAGCTACCACTGTAGACAATAATAGGGGTTTGATGATCTTGAATGAAATATGTTCTTGGATAACAACACTCCTAACCATGGTAATCGACATAATTACTCCATTGGTTTCTGAAAAGAATCAAGTACGGTATAGTTTCCTGATGATAGATAAGAAATGAAATGGAATTTCATGTTTCTTTCCTCTCAGAGTCATAACAATACTGTTTCCATGATCATGAAGAGACTATTCTTGCTAACTGCACCCAGAGTCCGGAGAGCAGACAGATTTAATTATTCTTCTATCCCCAAATAAGAAAAGCTAGAGGAGGCACACATTCCTCTAGTTTGTCCTTCAAGAAAGACATACAGTTCCATTTTGGCATTGACATGAATATCTCTATTCATGGTTGATTAAACAAAGCCACAAACGTATAGATGTAGGTATGCACTCTGCCTCTATATTAGTAATTTGATACTTACAAGTAGCTTGATATGTCTTAAGCTTCAAATCCTTATCTCTGGTGTAATCATAGGTGCATGCACTTATGTATCTTCTGTAGCTATTACCAAATTCTCACTCTTTGTTCCATTACCATCCATGTAGTTTGATATAGGGTTATAATAGTGTCTCTTGGCAAAGAAAGTGGATGTATTGTTTAAATAATTGCAGAACAACTCATTTGTCAAAGTTAGCCACATAAGAAGTCCATTATCATAATCTTTCCAGGGACCACTAGTATTTAATATTATGTGGCTTTCAGTGAATATTGATGTTTTCTCTCTTTGCAGCCTCATATTTTAATCGGCATTATCTTTGCAGATAATATAAATTAAACAATCACACATTAACAAAATGTTTACACACGGTCAAGATCCTGATGTTGTTCGGTGGGGACTCCAGCTTTTTGATGGCGGCCCATTCAATGACAGCAGCTACTCCGGATATGGTTCACAAAATTATGCAGATTGTTATCATGATCAATATTCTAGAGAGACCAGTTATGACACGCAATGTATCAACCCAGAAAATGACAAACATCTTATGCTTGCCCTTCCAGAGGACGGGTCCTCATTTTCGGTTGCTGAAGCATCTGCACCTTCTTGTGAAGAAGTTGATCTTTCACAAACATCTTTTTATTTACCGGATTCACTTAATCAGTCTATGGCAAACTACAGTCTTGGTAACAGATAAACAAAATCCACTTTTATTTGATTTGTTTGATATTTTAAGTTCTTTTTGGTCTAATGATGTTATCTACTTTACAGGAGATGATGAGAACACAAATGATTTGCCACCTACTAGTTCATGTGGTAGCCCTACAAGGCAGTTGAACTATGGGGAGGAGTGGTCTTATTCATTGGATTTAAGTGATGAGTATGCTCTAGATGATGAAGTAGGCAAGAGATTGAATCAGTTGGCTTCTATTCCTGTAAGCGTGGTGTCTTGGAGTATTATCATTCATACATCATTTAGCAATACCCCCATTAAATTTTGACAGATGTAAGAATATGTATAATCTTACATATAATCTTGAGCATGGCCATGATTTATAAACAAGAAGTTGTTGTCACAGAAAATAATCGGCCATCATCAATATCTGTATTTTATTGTATAGAGTGATCTGATTTGATTTGAAGTGATATATTTTCTCTGCTTCATAGTAGCCATTAGCTTGTTCAAACAAGGCTACAACATTTTATGCTATGTAGCACAAAGAGATTAAAGTAGCATAGCTAGTTTTGTTGCATCGTTACTAATGATGTTTTTATCAATTAAATAAATAAGAGGTTCCTGGTGGATTTTTGTAGCATGTTCCCAGAGTCAATGGGGAAATACCTTCTGTAGACGAGGCAACTTTAGATCATCAGAGGCTAATAGACAGGTATTAGGCAATATCGTAATAATTTTAACTGAATGGAGCATGTATGAGCATACGTCTTCTATTTTGGTGCTTCTATTGTTTGTTTATAGTTTATTAGTAAAACGATGCTTAAATACATCTTTCTTCTACAGGCTGCAGTTATACCAATTAGTAGAGTCCAAAGTTCAAGGGGATGGGAATTGCCAGGCAAATACTCTTAATCTACATGCTGATGGACAGGATATTGTTTGATCTAGTTTCTGACAGCTAGTTTATTCTTAACTGAAAATTAAATGGTCTTCATGTGACTGATACATAATATTTTAGTACACATCCTAGTAACCTTTTACACAATATCTCATAAAAGGTCTTTGGTTATAAATTTATAATTGCTCAAAGCTGCTTCAGATCGTTATGAAGTTCATGGTACTTTATATTGATACATATATATATATATGTATATATACACTCAAGCTCACAAATATATACACAGTTCTTGCAGTATTGAACACAGCTACAATATGCCTCCTCATATTTGTGTAAGTTGTTGACACAAAATCTGTTGCACTGAGCTTTAAAAACCTTGCTTTTAGCGAAACAATATATCTATCTCTCATTGTTACTGCATTAGAAGATATCCTTGCTATACTTGATTCAATCACCCTAAGTGAAATACTGAGGGAAAAACCGAATTGTATCACAGTGGTCATGAAGATTATCAACCTGAGAATAATGAAGATTGTCGATGGAATGAATTTGTCACTTAATACAGTTTTATAGTAGAAGGTCCAAATAAATGAAATTGTTTGCTAAGAGGTCAAGACTGCTAATCATTAAGGGCATACATTGGCTACTAGAGCTAGATCTTTTATGTTTGTGTGACTTGAAGAATTATAACATGTATATCTCAAGACTATCATATGCAACCAGAACACGTAGCTAATAATAGTATAGCAGCTGTTCTACATCTGACCTTTATCTACAATATTTATTGCTCAATAAATGATGTCTGAACAAAATTATCTTACATTTTCCAGTTTCGAGCTTTGTCAGATCAAGTTTACCGTACAGCTGAGCACCATAAATTTGTGAGACAACAAATTGTTAATCAGGTTGGTCTAGACATTTTAGTTTCCTTGTGATTATTTGTCCATACTCCCCCTTTGATTCTGATTCTTCTTTTCCAAAGCTTGAGTTACACGCAGAGATATACGAGGGATATGTTCCCATGGTTTATAGTGAATACTTGAAGAATATGGCCAAGTATTTTTCTGCTTCTTCAATGTTAATTTGCTAATACTTGATTACTATCTCTTGAGCTGCCATCTTACCTTGTGTTTCTGATATATGTGGATGTGAATTAGGGTCGGTGAATGGGGCGATCATGTCACTTTGCAGGCTGCTGCTGATTTGGTATGGAAGTGCATCTTTAACTGTATATCTTTCGAAACAATATATGACCAAAGGAGCATGTTTTAAGTACTGGGGTAATCTAGTTCTAATGCATGTTGATTTAATGGTGCAGTATGGCATCAAAGTCTTCGTAATCACATCATTCAAGGACACCTGCTATATTGAGATTGTTCCAAGTGTTCAAAGGTCAAATCGAGGTATTATCATATAAATATGATATCGAAATAAATGATCTGCAGTTTTAGAAAAATTTGACTCTAATCCAACTTCATGGGATTCACTGATTGATAATTCTTTCACATCCCATCATGTTTGGTTAATCTTGTTGTGGTAACTTTGTTGCAGTAATTTTCTTAAGCTTTTGGGCAGAGGTTCACTACAATTCAATATATCCGGTGGAAGGTAACGTTGAACCTTTTTAAACTTTTGTCAAGACTACGCTATCATTTGAGGTCACGTTAGGTCCTATTCACGTACAACATTTAAATTTTCTTTTATAAGTATCGTCTACTTGATAAAAACGAATTTGGTTTAATGATGCATCAAGATGAAATGTAAAATTTGTAGTTTCTAATTTTGTACATGGCGTATACATATATTCAGATTTGCCACCTATGAGGGGGTGAAGAACATGAAGCAATGAAGATGAGGATTTGAGTGGCTCTTTTCCAGCTTTATATATCATTAAACATGCATGCAACATAGTTTCAGCTCAACTTTTATAGGGTATATGTTGCATACAACCTATTCACAATTTCATTTTATGATATATCCTGTAATGTATTCACTAAAATGTTTCTTTACTTGGGTAAACTTTTAAGCTGAGTTACAGGGGCTGGTTACCTAAATGTTTACCTGGTATGCGTTTATCGTTATAAGTCAACACTATAATTTATTTTATGGATAAGTTCGTAGTACATCAAAATGGTATGATATGCAACAATTTACTTGGTATACTGGGTAAGAGTCGTTACCCTCACTTACCGGGTAAGACTCTCTATCCTTATGATCACTCTTACCGGGTAAGATTCTTGGGTCTTGCCGTGTTCATCCGGTGAGAAAAATTACCCGGTAAACACCTACCAAGTAAGAATTTAATAAACGGCGTCCAAGTATTTGCTCCCAATATCATTAAAATTTAGCTATAAATAAACTTTTCTCACGAGTTGGGATTCTTCATAGAAACAACCCTTTCGTTTGGTTTATTTGATTACAATTTAGCTTATACGCTACTTTACTAGTAAATGTCAAAAGCTTTCTGATTATTTCATTCTCTGTTTTTATTATGATGTAAAGTATTTCAATCAACTGGTTTACTAATATGATATTTCTGTAGTTAAGAAACTTCGATAGCATTGGTTATACGGTTTAAAATTTAAAGAATCTTTGCTAAGAAGCCAAAAATTCTTCAAATAAAAATCCAATTTACGAATTCAAATGAATCTCACACGTGAATAAAGCAAACCTAATTTTTACCTTAAAAAGCAGAACAAATGTTTATGTAAATACTGTTTAAAGACAAGAAAGACGAATATAATTAAGATAATACATTGTTTGATGTAGATCCATAAATAAAACCGCCTAATTTCATAAATCTTTTATAAATGGGTATCCATGTCATCATGTGTTTCAAGATCGGCATGCTATCAGTCAAATCAAGTACAAAACAGAAAATGTCTGACACTTTGTTAAATCCCTTTGAGGATGAATATGTATTAAACCAACATTTATTGTATTTCAATACATTTTACCCTTAATTAGAAGAAACATTCTTGGTCATTTTTTTGTCTCCGCCCCTTGTGGTCCAACAATTTCACTACTTCTATCTTTCACATAAATGGTAGGGATAGTTTAAATCCCATGATGGATGCTCTCGTATAATACTACCAAGACAACGATGGTTTCTGTGCTTCCAGAAAATTAAAATTTTGTATTAAAGGATGACCCAAAAAAATTTAGAAGCGAAAGAGTCACTGATTTATAATAAATTAGTTGTGTACCCGCGTAATAAGGCGGGAGCTGTAAATTTTAACGATTTTGAAGTTTCATTGGTTTTATTAGAGAAGATTTAACGATGATATAAGTTACAATTATTTACATATTAATACAATTTGAATAAATAAGAGTTATGGTTCCAATTACAGTCTATTGATAAAAAAAATTGTATGACAATTTAAAATCCAACATATTTAAACAACTCCACAAATGTATTTGATTTACACCAAGAGCAAAAAATCATGAGATCGAGAGCGAGACCGAGAGTTCTAGAGCAATTGAATGAGAGATGAATAAGAAAACTTTTAATAATTCATGGTGAATTTAATTTTGAATCTCATATTGGGGGATGAGAAGAAGACATAGATGTATGAGAGGGTGAAAATATGAGTGAAATGTGTCAAAAGTATATTGGGAACATGAAAAAAAAAAGTAATAATGTGCATTGGTAACTTGTATTATATGTTATTTTAATTGTAGATTAAGAGATTTTAAGAATGAATGCATAAAATAGTAGTACTTAAGGCATTATGAGTTGTTTTTAAGACTTTATGCATAAATGTATAGTACTTTGTACATTAAAAATTGTTTTTAAGACTTTTGATAAATTTGTTTTATAAGGTAGTATAGATATAGATGTGAACGCAAAGACACATTACTCTTTCAATTTTTATAGTTCAGTTCCATTATTAGTCATAGAAATGTGACAAATGTCATAAGAGTCACTGATTTATAATAAATGGGTGTAGAGGGAGGTTTATTTAATCTTAAATATTTTAGGAATTCAGCTATAAATAACTTTTTATGATGAATAACGTGATAAAATATTCATAATAAATGTTATAACATATATCCATGAGTAATAAAATAATATTTATCATAAATATTTATAAAATAGGTATTTCTTAGGTTTCTAAAATAATTAAGATTTTTTTAATCAACCTGCCGGGTGTTTTGATAAAAATAGAAGTTTACAGCATTTGTTGGGGGTCATTTTGTAATAATGGATAAGCGTTGGGGGTGAAGTGAAAAATTCCATTATAGTAGTAGTTGGCCAGTCTACACACTTCTGGGGATCATCGAATCTTCTGGAAGCGCCTTCCCACTCCATCTTAAAACCCTAGCAACATACTTCACTCCTTGCAAGAACACGATTTTAGCACCTACCTCTTATCTACAACAACTACAAGCAGCTACCATGGCGTCTGCTAATGCAATTTCTACAGCTTCTATAATCTACTCCCCTAAACAGGTGGCTTTCCTTGTTCTTTCGAGTTAAATCCGATTGTTTGTTCCTTATGTGTATTGATTATGTTGATAGATCTTGGATTTCTTTTTCTCATGAGTAGGGGAGTTTGAGAAATGGTAATGGAGGTATTAGTCAGTTGCGGACTGGTCAGACGATGAAGCAATCGCATCGCCGGTTCGCCGTTCGAGCTGCTGCTAAAGATATTGCATTTGATCAGAGTTCTAGGTCGGCTATGCAGGCCGGTATCGATAAGCTTGCCGATGCTGTTGGTCTTACTCTTGGCCCTAGAGGTATCACTTATCAGTATTGTCTTAATCTGTGGTTAGAGTTTATAAGGCTCCTTAATTTGGATTAGTGTTGTTATGGACAATGGATTTGCTTAATCTTTAGGATTTTAGAGAATAATATATGAATTGTAATTCTAATAACAATCCTTTGTCAAAATGGAATTCGATAAAAAATAGGTACTATTTCTATATATTACAACACTTAGATGGTGAGTTTGGTCCATACATTTTATTGATTTGGATATATATTTGGCCAATTTATCAACAGTAATAACTTCTTTTGTGTTAAGTAAGTAGTACTATTTTTTTCCTCACGAAGGGGGTATAAATAAAATCAATTGATTTCTTGTATTGATCGAGAATTGGTTTGGATTGTTTATAGTCAAACAGGATTGTAAGTATTTGAATGACCTCAAACAGGCCTCATTCTTCATTATACGTTGCTCATTATGGGCATCAGTACATTATGTAGCTGAGAAATGAACGATTCCAATTATGATTTGTGTTATTGAAATTGATGGGATTTTATGATATTTTTATGCGTTGCTCACTTTTCTGTAGCTGATAATGTTAGTTTGCATTTGTCATTGTTATCATGTAGGGAGGAATGTTGTCTTGGACGAATATGGTTCCCCAAAGGTGGTTAATGATGGGGTTACAATTGCCAGAGCTATTGAGCTACCTGATGCTATGGAAAATGCTGGCGCTGCTCTAATCAGAGAGGTACGTGCCTAGAATTTTAGTCGTTGCTGGTTCTTCATGTGGTAATCAAATAATCATTTGGTCACTCAAATCGCCAAGGTTGCAAGTAAAACCAATGACTCGGCTGGTGATGGTACAACAACTGCATCTGTTCTTGCACGTGAAATTATCAAACTCGGTCTCCTGAGTGTAACTTCTGGTGCCAACCCGGTCTCAATAAAGAAAGGTATTGACAAGACAGTACATGCTCTGATCGAGGAGCTGGAGAAGAGAGCTAGACCAGTAAAAGGTCGTGATGATATCAAAGGTAGTAAAGATTCTCTTTTTGTTGTTGTGACAACTTGAACTTTCCTTGTTATTCAAATTGAAGCAGGATTTAAGTTTCAGCATCCATTATATATACTCTCTTCTGATGTGATCATTTGAACCTTTTTGAAGCCATTGCCTCAATTTCTGCTGGAAATGATGATGTTATTGGGTCCATGATTGCTGATGCCATCGACAAGGTTGGAGCAGACGGTGTGCTATCTATTGAATCATCCTCCTCCTTTGAGACGACTGTTGATGTTGAAGAAGGAATGGAGGTCTGTGCTAAATTAGAACTTAATCTTGTCCTAATTTGTCATGTTTTGCTTTATGCATGACTTGAATTAAATTACCTCATTATGTTGCAATTTGATGATAAGTTTGAACCTATCTTGTTTCTTTCTGCTGGACCTTTATTTCCATCATTGAGGTTTTCTTCCATGGGTTTTGCAGATTGACAGAGGATATATCTCCCCACAATTTGTTACAAACTCGGAAAAATTGATAGTTGAATTTGAGAATGCTCGAGTGTTGGTTACTGACCAAAAAATATCTTCCATAAAAGACATAATTCCCTTGTTGGAAAAAACCACTCAATTGAGAGCTCCTTTGCTAATTATTGCGGAGGATGTTAGCGGGGAGGCTTTGGCCACTCTTGTCGTAAACAAGCTGCGAGGTATCCTTAATGTTGCTGCCATCAAGGCCCCTGGTTTTGGTGAGAGGAGAAAAGCCCTGCTTCAAGATATTGCTATCATGACAGGTACACAATTTTACCAGAAGTTCTTTTCCTCTGTCTTGTATCCTTCAAATATATGTTAATCGATCAAGTTGTATTGTGTATTCATTGATCTTTGGTCTGTATTTAATTTTTCTATAGGAGCCGAGTACCAAGCCACAGACTTGGGTTTACTTGTTGAAAATACCTCTGTGGAGCAGCTTGGCATAGCCAGGAAGATCACGATCAGCAAGGACTCTACGACCATCATTGCTGATGCTGCATCAAAGGACGAGATACAGTCTAGGATTTCCCAGATCAAGAAGGAGTTGTTCGAGACAGATTCTGTCTATGACTCTGAGAAACTTGCTGAGCGTATTGCAAAGTTGTCTGGTGGGGTTGCTGTTATAAAGGTGGGTGCTGCAACTGAAACAGAGTTGGAGGACCGCAAGCTTCGTATTGAGGATGCTAAAAATGCAACATTTGCTGCCATAGAGGAAGGAATAGTACCTGGAGGTGGTGCTGCATTCGTCCATCTCTCAACCTTAGTTCCTCTTATCAAGGAGAAGCTCGATGATGCAGATGAACGTCTAGGAGCTGATATTATCCAAAAGGTAAAATCATGAGCCATAATTTTACAGAGTCAGATATTTCAGGGGTTTGTGGGCTGAGGGAATATATAAATTCTTGCAGGCACTGGTGGCACCAGCATCGTTGATAGCACAAAATGCTGGAATTGAAGGGGAGGTGGTTGTGGAGAAGGTAAAGGCGAGCGAATGGGAGATGGGTTACAATGCAATGACAGACAAGTACGAGAATTTGGTAGAGGCTGGAGTTATCGATCCGGCAAAGGTGACGAGATGTGCGCTGCAAAATTCAGCTTCGGTTGCTGGAATGGTCCTGACCACACAGGCTATTGTTGTGGAAAAGGCCAAACCCAGGTCAGGTGTGGCTGGTGCACCCCAAGGTATGACGGTATAATGACCAAGATTGAGTGGGGTTGATTACGAATTTAGGTAGAATAAATATGATGGTGGCGTGGACGTAAGGTGTAGGCAGCGAGACTTGATGGGGTCTGTTTTTGTAGTATTGAGCTGAATGGTATCTGGTAGATGGAGATTGCAATTCTTATGTGAACATGGTTTTCAAAGCATAATTGAAGATGAGCCTTTTTCTTTCAAGTCTTGTTGTTGGTTTTAATCCTTTTGGTGCATCATGGAATGTAACTAATACATATCATTCTTTTTCATATAATTGAAATTGAGGACAGATTTAACCACATTCATCTTTGACAAATAGTTTTGGTTACATCATATTAATGTGGATGCTAAAATCTAAAATGGATCAAGTTAGAGCATCCTCAATCTTACATAGAACTATATAATACATTGTTACTTTAATTATGCTTCCTCTCTGTATTAATAAATAAATAAATAAATAAATAAATATATATATATATGTTATTTCAAAGTCATTATTTGAGGGCTTGGGCAAGGACTGAGGTGGGTCTAACATAGCCAACCTAAGCCCGGTTATATATATGTATGGTGGTTGGTAATGGTGTCTAACGGGTCTAAAAATTTACATTTAGAATCAGTTGCGTAGAATAATAAGTTATGCAGAATTATCTGAAATACATATTTTCTTTCCAACCAAAAAAACATTTAATATATCAACGTATATAGCGCAAGAAAAAAAGTACTTTCACAGAATATGGACCTTTCCTCTCTGAGGATTATCAGAAATTGATATTATATGACATCCTCACAAATAATAGTTATATTTGAAAGATGGTTGGCATTCAATAGGGAGTCATCCATAATCATTTTATACTTTTATTTTATAAAATACTAATTATGCACAAAAAATTAATTGATTATAATCGTAAAACAGGATGGATAGACCTGTCCCATTTTTTTTTTTATCATCTTTCAACCCTGTCTGTCTATTAATTTGAACGGTTTCAAACGAGCTTGCTTGTATATTTTTAAAATGGTTGACCAAGCCCATTTTCTTAATGGTCTAGTCTAGAGGGGGCCGAGTCTAGGAGGCCTTGCCTTTCACGAAGAACTCTAATTTTAATAATACTTTTACTTGTTAAACAGATCACATGAGATATATATATGGAAAAATTTAAACAAGAACATCTTCATTTTACGATAACGTGAGAATATTCTTTTATTATAGACAATTACATGTGATGCTATTATTCCATCACATATGATACTCATGTGATACTAAATCAGAGACGTGGACGATTTTCGATGTGATCTTGGTTGCGGGCCAAGTCGCTCTTACACCACTAAGCCCCCTCACATGTATTATCACATGTGATAAGAGTGTTGTTGATATTATACTATAATCCATCAAGATCATCACATGTGATGCTAAATCATAGACGCAAACAACCTTTGGCGTGGGCTAAGTCGTAGAACACGTCGTCCGCACATCACAAGGTCCCCTCATGCGTATTATCACACGTGATAAAGGTGTTCCCATGTTCTCGTAAAATGGAGGTGCTCTCGTTTGAACCTCCACACACACATAATGACGTAGTTGTTTACATGTAGGGAGTAAAATAATGAAAATTAATGTAGAAAATTAAACCAATATAAAGAATATTAGGCCTCTCTTCAATAATTAAAGTACTAATTTAAGAAGTGTATCGAAGATGTTCTAAAAGAAAATTACCAAGTGAATTTTCCTCGTTAGTTATTTATTTATCAATACTTGATCAGCTAAATTTATAATCGTTATTAATTCTTTTTTCTAATTATAAATAGAGGATTGAGAAGTATGGACGGATAAACACCCGAAAACCAACTCAAAACAAGAAAAATTCAACCCGAGGTTACCTACGATCTAATTTATGTAAAATTATATCAATCTATAAAAACATTTAATTAGACCATTCAAACGCATTCAAACCAATCAATCCAATCTCAATAATATGTAACTCATATCCCTTTCATATGACCACTTGTCCACTTTCTTCTAATCTGTATTATATATATTATATTATAAAACATTTGATAAAAACCTTTAAATACCATTTTTATGCATAAAGTAATATTTATTAATATATATTACTTAAAATTCATGATTACAAGTAACTGTACATACGTATAACTTATTAAATCTTCATTTTTGATTTTGTGTAACTAACTGTAGATACACATAATAAAATACAAAATAAACATCTCATTTTAAATATAAAAACTCTAAAATGTAATTGGGATAATCATTGACTTCTAATAAAATATTTGATTATTATCTTTATATAGAATTATATTGTCAAATCAAAAATAAATTACTTTATTATTAAGCATAAATTAAATTATAATAAAAAATTATACAGGAAACTAGTTTTTTTAAATAGTTAATTTGATACTAGTATCGATATATATATATATTTTAAAATATGATATCTTCAAATTTATATTTTATTCAAACGTAAAAACATTATTATTTTCTCAAAACTATATAAAACCGTATTATATCAATAAGAACAAATAATAAAATAAAATATTAAAATCGAAATGTATTATGCTTCATTGTGCGAGTATGTTTCCAGTATTATAAAAACATTTGACAAAAACTCTTAAAAATCATTTTTTATGTATGAAGTACTGTTTATTGATGCATAATACTTAAAATTCAATATTAGAAGTAAATTTTACGTAAGTGCGAGTTATTAAAGTTCCATGTTTGAATTTATGTAATTAACTGCAGTTAAACACAATCAAATACATGATAAACATCTCATTTTAAATATAAAATATACAAAATATAATTAAGATAATTATTGAGTTCTAACAATTCTAAATTATTATCTTTATAAAAAAATTATATAATTAAACAAAAAATAAATTACTTCATTATTAAATTTACATTAAATTATAATAAAAAATAAATTAAATAAATAAATACATAAAAAACGAAAACTTTAAATAGTTAATATAATATTAATATCGATATTTTTTTTTCTTCAAATTTTATGAAATCGTCAAATTTATATTTTATTCAAAGATATACATATTATAATTTTCTCAAAATCATATAAAACCGTATTATAACAACGACAGAGACAGAATAAAACGAAACATTAAAATCAAGATATATTTTACTGCATTACATGAATACCCTTCTGGTTATCCTCTACGGGTATGAAGGCATTCCTAACATTTCAGAATCTCACTTTTTTCTCATACTTTATGATATTTAATAGAGTAAACTACAAATTTGGTTCATGAACCCGAGTTCGAGCCCTGGGAGGGGAGTGTTGGCGACATTTAAGTGGGGTCATGTTTAGCCTTCAAATTTGCCGGGGATTAGTCGGGCTTTGGCCCGGACACCCTTACAAAAAAAAAAAAAAAAAAAAAAAAAAAATTGGTTCATGTGGTTTGTTGTTTATAACACTTTTGATCCTTACGTTTTCGAAATTACAAGATGACCATTGTGATATGCAGAAACAACCGGATTTGGTTCCTCCCTCTAACGACGTTAGAAGAACCCGTTACATCAGGGGTAATTTAGTCTTTTTCCACTTTTATCTTTTATTCTTTAAGGGACCAAAAAGATAACTCCCTAATTTGTTGAACTACATAAAATCAAGAAACAACTCTCACCCTAAACCTTCAAATCAGAAAACCACTCTCACCCTGAACTCCTCTCGTACCCATCATCTGCCACGACATGTGACCCATACCAATTCCATAACCCATCCACGCCTGTTACCATCACAATCCACCACCAATTTTTGCTTTTACCTACCAAAAAAGCCAAAATTCCATCTCAACATTGAAAGTGAAAAATCATTGCTGAATTTTTTTATTTTGATTTACTTTTGGGTTGATTTGATTTGGGCGACTTGTGTCCTGGATTGATCAACATCAAGGTATGTTAGGTTAGAAATAATAGGGAGTGGAAGAAGGCAGAGGAAGCTAGAGATTGAAGGAGATCAACAGTTGCTCCGATGATGGAGAGGATTTGGGCCTTACGATGCTTACTGTTAGTTAGAGGAATGGACCAAATCCGGTCGTTTTTGCATATCACAATAGTCATCTTGTAATTCTGAAACTGTAGATACCACGAGTGTTACAAACAACAAACCACGGAGACCAAATCTATAGTTTACTCTATTTAATATCAACCTACTTTTTGAAACCTAACTAAAAATTCTTTTTGTTTGTTTTATGAGTTTTTGATTTTGTTACAAATTTATCACCAAGAGGACTTTCTTCTCGTTACTTTAACTTTAAAAAAACTATGAACTCCCTTTTTTTCCTTGTAAAATTTAATGAAATGTCAATCAATTTTCAAGTGTAAAAACCCAATTCAATATCCAACCAAAATGAATACGTTTACTTGTTATGTTTAACCGACAGAGTACTCTTTAATTGTTTTCTGGCCAAAAATTTTAACCTAACCAACCAATCATTGCATTGGATCGTTCAAACATTGACTTCAGACCAACAAACTAAACCTATATACAACCCTATTGAGAATTTTGAATATAGGGTTAGGTTTAAACAAGAAGATGAGAAGTTCTAAGATCATACGATTTCACGTGATACTAACGCTCAATCTATATATATATACATATATATATATAGAGAGAGAGAGAGAGGGGATAGGAATATTTCCAATATGAAGTGTAAAGCAAAATAATGTTGGTCCAAAGAGAGGGACACATAACCACCAGATTTGAAGTCGTTGTTTTCTAGAATGTCAACCTTTGACATATAGACTTCATCAAATAACCGGTCCCTTGGGCCTTGACCCAGATAATAATACGTATCAACATCACTAAAACCAAAATCATATTAAACTTAATTATTCTTTTTATATTACTACGCTTCCTTTGTATCCCATTTCGTAACCCTTGGTTCAATTTTTGTGTTTGACCATCAAATCCATCTATTCAACTTGACCATCATAACTCACCTTCCTTGTGGTGGTTGGGGTTACTCTAACTAATTTCTCTCACTATTTCCACATATATTTGTTTTTTTATGTAACAATTGAGATATCAACTTGTTCTTATGCTATAATTATTTTATACTTTAAATTTTACAGCAAAAAACTAAATGTAACTTTCACAATTTTATGATGTGAAAGTTCGTTTTCTTTATCTTCACAATATATTTTTGTAAAGTTTCAAGTATAAAAACATGGTGTCGTGGATCTCACGAACATATATGTTGGTCTCATGTAAACCCGACTACATCATGTACTGTTGGTTTTGAA